ATATTAATAAAATATGTATTTGACCTCCTGTACTGTGACTCCAAATGTCTCCTTTGTTCATGTGTTATTGTTTCATTTGGTTTACAAGGTTGTGCCCACTGCAGGAAAGTGAGTAGGGGAAGAAAGAGACAAAGAGAACTCTGGTGGCGCAAGACTGAGGACATCTCCTGAATATTGCTCATGGCGTCAACGTCAATCTGGGGACCAGGGTTAGCAGAAAAACCTTCACCCCGAGTCTGATTGGGAATGGCAGATTGGAGGCATATCACCTTGGTTCAGGAAAGTGTTTTTTAGTGAAAAGACAAAATGCAGCTCACCGATACAAATTGTATCAAGCTGCTTTAAAATCAAAACCCAGTCAAACTGCCGATACCATCAGCGATTGTGGGGGGGCTGGAGCGATATTTCGGCTCTGAAAAACACAAGCGCCACTTCATCTCTGAATCTGCCCGCCAGCTCTGTACGCTCTGCACTATTTTTAATCACCTTTCAGGAAAGCTACTGAAAAGGAGAGACTGTTTTTGCAGTCTGACAGCATATCATATGATTATTTTCACTCACTCGCTCTGAAGAACACAAGACACCTTTGATCTGCCTTCACTTCACAGACCCCTGAGGCTGAATCCCTGTTCATCAGGTGGTACACAACAGAGGACCACAAAAATAAGTCTTAAGAAATTAAATAAGAAATACCAGCTCCCTGTTATGGGATCTTCTTTTAATTATGTGCTGAAACTTCCAAACCCCATTACTACAAAAACAAAAACGAAGTTTACAAGGCAACACCCCTGATCTGTAACTCAGCATCAAATAATTTAAATTCATAGGATTGCAGTTTGAACAATTCGTGAAAGTGGTAACTGTAAACATCCCTCCCTTTGATTTTGAAGACTTTCAATGACTGAATCAGCAGAAGGTGCTCTACAAGAGATCAAGTAGTAGAATTTGGAAGAAGTTTAATAGTTATATGTCCAGAGCCCTAAAAAACTGCTCACCATCTTGAACTCAACAGATGGATTAAATTAGAGAGGACATGAAGGTTGCCAGGATGGGCTCAAACTCCCACATCACCGTGAACTGGAAGAAGTGGTTAGAAAATGGATGGATGGAACTCGACAAGTAAATTTAATAACAGCACATTCAGCGTAGTCCTCGGTCTAGAGGTTTTTAAAGCAGGGATGCCATTCAGAACTCCTACTCTCAGTTTTGATGAGGGTGTCAGAATAAAATACTTTGTCTCATATTCAGAAGCGTTACACATTGACATGTTAAAACGTGACTCTAGAGAAGTGTCGGGTTTCTAGAGAAGAGGGGGGAAGAAAAATCTTTCAGGGAATCTTTTGGAGCAAAGGGCCGACACAGTGGTTTACTCGTCCCTTCATCACAGTTCCCCTGCCCTAATTGTGTTGGACTGTTTTGCTCACTCAGGGAGTTCACTGGTGCCCTCCAGCCCAGTGAGAGGTACTGTTCCAGCACAATGTTTTTCTGATATTGTGCTGCTCCACAGGGGCTTTGGGTCAAAGAATATGTGTGGTCTTGGCAGGAATCTGATGGATTTAGAAGCAGCAAGAGGATCGATGATGAGTAAAAAGATATCATAATGGCTTGACCCCTCACCCGAAGAAGGCTGTTTCGAGTTTGCATGGTGAGGCAATGAAAGAAAATAGGGATAAAGACGCTTGCTATCAAGAGAAGTGTCAATGCTCCATAAATATGGGCAGATATGCGTCACTTGATCTTCTGGATTATTCAAGAATCAGACATCGAAAACAACTCTGAAAGGAACAAGAAATAATAGCACAGGTTGGCAATACAAGGCACCACAGATTTTTTAAAGATCATTTGCCCAAATGGCTCATTTAAAGACGCTGTATCTGGTGGGCTGTTATCTTGTATCCATGTTGACTTTCTCCGAAACATAATTTCCCTGTTTCCTTGCACTTTGATCAGCCTGACGTTAAACAAGCTGCAGCATCTGGTGTTGAATGCAAGTAAATTCTACTCTTTTTTACTAGAGACAAAAGATCAAGTAGGCAGACTGTACGTGGCTCTTTATCAAATGATGACAAACCACAAAAGCTACTTATTAAAGCAGGACTGATCTGGTCAGCACTATGCCAATGTGAGATTACAAACAAACTTGCAGGTTGCTTCAGATTTTAAAAAGCACGCCAGTGCACTTGTGTTTTGCAGCTGTACTTGTTTTGGTTTCAGAGGTTTTGTATGCAAAAGGAGACTGAAGCACAAACTCACATCACTTTTAAACTCAGGGGAGTGAATACTAATTTCAGGCTTTCCAAAAACTTCCAGAGTAGACTTACTAACAGCTCTTGCAGGCTTATAGCTAATTCCGTAGAACTGCCTACCTTTTCACGATTAGCTAGTTTATTCAGTACTCCAGAGGCACATACAGTAGGCATTGTCTTTTTATACAGTATGTATTCTTACCTTTCATATACTTTACACAGGCTGTGTGTAAAACTGCTACACTTCAGTGCACACCCACCACTTCAAAAGCCATGCTGACTGCTGGTGTCTAGTGAGCATTATTTTTGCAGTTCTAAACACATGAGAACATCACCATATTCTGCACTGCAGGCCTTTTGTGTTCTGCTAATCTTTTAAAGAGACATGTGAGAAAAAAAAGAGAATTTAATGGCTCAAACCAACCTTATGTGGACTAGTAGAAAATATTTAGACTACGTGACATAAACAGAACCCATCAAGAAACAGCTTGGGAAAAATATTAATATCTTCTTTCTAATTGATTATGGAAGAAATCACAGAATATAGTGTAGAAATGCCAAGTAATACTGTATATCTCAGCTACAGTCCAGATACTCGCTTGGAGCGGAGGTCAATATCTCTCAATTTTCTTGACAAGCACAATATGTACTTCTGCCACGACGTAACCTAAATATCATTCTTGTGTTGAAAGGCAGAGAAAGAAAATCCCCAATCATTCAACACCAAAAGAAACCCAGCAGGTGATACAGTATTCACAATTACAGTATGTTCAAGAGCATTCAGCACTTGACAGCACAACTGTCAGCATAACAGAAATCAAATTGCACAGGCAAAATTGACACTTTTCCATAGAATTCTGGATTTTAGATGAAGAAACATCAAGTCACGGACAGCAGTGTGGTCAGCACTGCTCTATTTACTGAACTATTTTTTTGGCAGCAAATGCATTGTTGATTTCTACTCCACTGTTGAAGTAGGTGAATGAAAAAATAAAGGCATCCACTGCAAAGAGTGTTTCGATGTCTGCTGACACGCTGTGGCTGTGATCCCCTCTGGAGCTGAGCCAGGTTCCCTGAGTCTGCAGTGGCCTCTCTTTGCAGCCTGGGAAATATGTGCATCTAATTATTGATCAAAAAGAAAGCACAACATGCAGCAAATTTTGTTCAAGTCAGAGTAGTGCAGGACTCATTAATAAAGTGCTCTGTATGTCCTGTATAAAGCCCACACTGTGGTTCAGACATTTAATTAGTACCACCATCCACAGTCTCCTCTGTGTATTGTAATCGTGTTTTATCTTGTGTATTCTTTTTATTTATTGTTGTTGTCATTCTGTAAAGCGCTTTGAGAAGCCACCTTTAAAGGGGCTATATAAAATAAAGTCTATTATTATTATTTTTATTAATTGTCCTCAAAGCAGCTCATCACTATAGCTGGGCTATGTTAAGAAATACAAGAAGGAACCGATATGCCCAGCTTGGCCTCAGAGCTGTTTCAAAACTAACGACAACAGTTCAGGACTTGCATCTCCGAGTCAATCCTGTCACAAATAATGAGATGTGTATTATCCACATACCAGCTAATACCACTCTTACTGTGTGGTCAGCAATCTTCAGAAACAGTCTGTATGTTTAGCAACAGTACCAATAACAGTACAATAGCAACAATACCCTCTAGAATGTGTATTATTACAGGATATGGTCATTTCTCAGAGTGCAAGGTCCCTTGGTCACACACATCCTGTTGTACATTGTTGTTTAATTATCAGACACATTAACTTTCTTTTGTAAAACTTCTAAACCAAAGCTCGACTCAGGCAACACCTTCCCAGACTCACAGGATGCCCTCTAGGAAATAGCGGAGCGTTGAATCAGGAAATCTGTCTCCTGGTCATTCA